TTTAAGTAACCATGCAAGTCTCCATTTTTTTCCTTTGGAATTTTCAATAGCATGGAAACAAAAGTGAATATTCTATATTACGTCTTTCCTTTAGGCAGAAATCTCTCTTGTGACCGCAGCCGCTGTTGGAAATTACTATTTTCGTATTCTGGTTGAGAAAATGTTTCCTTCCTTTATTATCAGCAATCAATCTCAAAAAGCTTTTTAGTTCCATGTCACTGCTCCCTTTAACCGATATGGCTGTAATTAATGTAATTTTTGTGATTTTGTTTTTCGCAATAATGGCGATGACTGCCGCGTTTCCAAGAAGTGAGAACAACATCATTACGATGTAACTTATTGCTTTGATGGCTTTTGTAGACACGGGATCTTCTTTGATGAAAGGCATGCATCTGACATCAGTCGAGTTTAGCATGGCGGTATTAATAAGAGGACCATCTATCATGTTTACTCATACCGTAAAGTGTATATAGCTCTTTAGGAAGTCGACATAATTGGCCAGCTAACCCTGAAGATTGGCTTTTACTTTGGCATAAACATAAGCCTAAGACACCGTGCACACTACGCCGGAAAAATATTTGAAACGGCGTTTTTCGGTACCCTGAAAGCACAAATGTTTCCCGTTAATACTACGCCGGAGAAATTTGACTAGTCAACCATAACCGGTCATTTTGAATTTATGTTTGAGGAAAGCTCGGGTAGGGAAGTCACATGATTATCGTGACGTCATTGTTTTCAAAAAGCTCCGTTTTCAAAATGTTCTCCTTGCACACTAAAACGCAAAACCGGCTTTTCAAATTCCCCCGGTTTGAAGAGCGTTTTCGAAAAGCTCCGTTTTCGTGACGGATTAGCGTGGACGGTAGGCCCAACTGTAGAAATAAAGCTGCGTTTTCAAATTTGTCTGGCGTAGCGTGGACGGGGCCTATGCAACACGTGCAAACGTAGTAGGGCGCCAAAAAAGGCGCTAATTGACAGCATCTTACTGAGTCTGCATGCTCATGTCGCTTAAACAAATGCTTATGAGCTAGTGAAAACAGTCGCCTGTGGGTCGCAACTTTTCTACAGCTTTGTTAAAGAGGTGCGACAGATAGACACAAGATAAATTGTCAAACAAGTGCAACAAACGTAAAAAGGCGGCTACGACTAAAAGGAAATTCAATGATTTATTTGTCGGTTAATTTTACCGTCCTCGATTTTTTTTTTCTTTGTTTATTTTCCAACATTTTTATTACAATAAATATACCTATAACATGTTAATTACAATAAACTACTTAAATACAATACTTACGATAAACTTACCTACAATACGTTTTTTTTTTTTTTCAACATTAACATAACGCTAGATAAAGCACTTTCGGGTAACTACTGTACTAATAATAATACTATATAATTACAACTGATTTCTACAGGATATATCATATTCAATTTACGTAATTGCGAAGATAAAAAGTTTGCGAGGTTTTTTTTTTTTTTTTTTTTTTTAACGCAAACGAAGAGATAAAGAAGAAGTTACATGTATGTTGAAGTTCCATGTCAGTTCACTTGCCACGCAATTCCGTCCACAACGCCTTCGCTACGAAACATTTATTTCGAGATTGCTTCGCTCGCAAATTCGAAAACAGCCTCGTCAAAAATACAGAGGACACTTTCGCGGTTCGCATAGTACGTTGGGTAAACTATAATTAGCCCTACCGGGAGTAGTCAGCAAAGATTTCTTAACAGCCAAACCAAAATGCTCCC